TAGTCAAGTCTATCACTTATCTTTCCTTCAGGTTTCTTTGCGGAAAATATTTTGCATGTTTTAAACCTCTTTGGAAGTGTTTACGGTGAAGATGACGTCAATTTTATTTAGATCAAAGCTTTTCGCCAAGTTAAGGCGCGAGAGTCCTCGTGGCCTAGTGGTAAAACCGTCATGTTGGAACAAAGGTCCTAGGTTCGAGTCTCGTCGGATATTCTTTTTTTTTTCCTTGTCTTTTCCCTTCTTTTTCTTTTATTATTATTTTTTTTATCACAGTTATCATAAAAACAACTGTTTAAGCCGTAAAGATTAGTCATTTTTTAACAATAGAGGACAGAATATCGTAACAGCGTATAAAACAAATAGACAAATGAACCTCGCTTAAATGAAACTTGAAATGTTAACCTGTACTCAAGTAATGTTCTAGATCGAAGGCTTTTTTCCCCTTGTTGATGAGGTAAAAAGTAATAAATAGAGCGCGAGGTTTCTCTGTCCTTGAATTCGTCGATGAGAAATTCCCTCCCTGTACTACGTGTTGTCACTGTTTTGTTTTTTAAATGCATTGATACAATTCTTCGACATTTTAGAAAGCTGGAGCACGCGGTTATATTTTCTTAACTCATTACATCCGGGATGACACCCAAATCATCCGACATTGAATTTTGAACCATAAAATATTAGAAAGGCAATGGACCCCCTCCTCCCTCAAACCCCAACTACGCGCCCAAAACACATTTGGCGGAAGTCTTCAAGACAAATCCTGTCATAACCCTTTTTGATTGTCAGGCCTCCCATGAACACGCTGATGACCTTTGGGCTTGTCATGCCAATCCTCTTCACCGAGGGCGCATTATGACCACACGACACACTAGAGGGCTCTCTCGCCTTCAGCCTGCAAAAAGCTGTGATTTAAATAAAACTGACGTCATCTTCACCGTAAACACTTCCAAAGAGGTTTAAAACATGCAAAATATTTTCCGCAAAGAAACCTGAAGGAAAGGTAAGTGATAGACTTGACTATCACAGCTAAATACTGCTGAGGAAATTCCACAACATTCCCAAATCGCCGCAACAAATTACAGGAGCGGGCATTGCCCTCAGCGGTTAGCATCAGTCGTTTTAGTCCATGAGGGTCTTCGTTTTAGTCCATGGGGTCTTCGTTTTAGTCCAAGGGGTCTTCGTTTTAGTCCAAGGGTTCTTCGTTTTAGTCCATGGGGTCTTCGTTTTAGTCCATAGGGTCTTCGTTTTAGTCCATGGGGTCTTCGTTTTAGTCCATGGGGTCTTCGTTTTAGTCCAAGGGGTCTTAGGTCTTAGGTCTTCGTTTTTGGGTCTTCGTTTTAGTAACACCCGGGCGGCCTGTGATAAGACATGAATGCGCGAGCGTGAATTGATCAAACGTCCTTTTACTTTCCGGCGAATAAAATGAACGGTATGTGAAAAGTGAAAGAGAAATAGCGAAAAATTAAACTTCTAATTAAATCTATGGTTTAGAATAAACTATTCTCGAAACTGAGGATGTTTTGATCAAAGCTGTGTAAATCGAACTGAAGCTGTGAATGGAACCCAGCCCGCCGCGTTTCCTGTTTTTATCTTACCTATTGAATGGAATATGTGTGAAACTCCTCATTATGAATCGATATATTTCAAAGAGCTACTCAACGACCAAGAATACTATGGACCGACAATATACAGAGCGGGGGCAGCTGTAGTGTCAACTATTACTAGGACGTAAGCTTATTTTAAGCCCCGTTTCTGTTTTTGGGCTGTATAAGTATTTTTAAATGTTAACAATTAATTAAAGCTTTTTAACTCACAGAATATAAAATCCTTTGAAGTATGAAGATCGATCTGTGCCAAAGAACCCGTTGGAATTAACAAAAGAAACCGAACTACTTGCCTTTACCTGCTACAAGACAGACAAAACTGCCAAGGCGAATTTTCTCCTATGACCACGCGCCCGCGGGATTTTCGAGAAAGAGAGGAAGCTTGTTAAAAAAATTGACTGGAATGAACTATTAGATATTTGGACGGTGGAACGAAACAAAAGACGGAAGCCTGGAAGGTCGCGTATGTCGTTTGGGGCTCGCCTGCTTTGTCCAGGACAGCTGACACTTTTGGGAGTGGGAGCAGCAGAGAAGGAACAAGGGTGTTTACCATTTATCAGAAATTTCCGGGAAAATAGTTCGAAAATAATGGACCACCTCCTCAAAAGTAAGTACAGCATGTTTCTTACTAAAATGTCTTAAAGTGTGGGAAAAACCTTCTTCATTTGTATATTACTTTTTTCCATTAATTAATGCCTTTTGGAGTCCAAATTGTCACTCTTCCTGGCTCAAATAACCTGCATAACAGGCGCTTTATGAGTCAAGTGAGGCGCAAAACAAGCGCCTGTTTTCACAAACTCGAGCCAGTCCCTTCGCGGAAAATTACCATTTGTCCCTTTGTTGTCATTTTGCAATTAAACGAAAACGTGACCCCTTCTTTTTGTACATGTTTTTTTACTTGTTGTGGCTTCAGGAAAAATATAATATTTTAAGGAGAAAAAAATTTGGAAGGTAAAAAATGTACTGTTTAGAGATTCATGATGTGAAACTCCTTGGAGCCACAGAGGAGTATGAGATTTATTATGAGATATCATGTTAAAAACTGTCCATTTTTGTCACAGATTTTGCATTTTGCAGATCATGTAATTAGTCATTTTACTGAAACATTATAGCCCCAAAAAATAAAACGGACTCTATATTTTAGTAAGATTTATACTTTTTGCTATGATAAGAATTTTTGACAGTTGTTCAAGTTTTCATTTTGCACATAGCTGGGAAAGAACACTACAAGCACGCAGAGCGGAAAAAGGCAAGGTGACCCCATCGTTTTATTACAGTTTTTTCAATATCCTATATACCGTTTTTCCTTGAATAATAGCTGTCCCTTGATTAATCGCCTCCCTTGAATAATCGCCCCCTCTGACAGAAATATTTAAAATAATCGCCTAGCTCCCTCCAATAATCGGCCCCCTCCCACCACTACAGGTTACCCACTATCGATACAAGTTCAAATTTCAAGTTTATTAAAACACTTTGATCCTTGCCTGCAAAATAGCCTAGCTAATAGAGGCAAGAGGAAAATAAATAATTACCCCTAGCTACTATTCTAGGAAATACAGTATGGCAATATTGTATCCTTTTCAAGGGAATTGTGTTGAGCATCATGGGCCTTATTCACACCGCGGCCATATTGTCCTGAGAGACTGAAAAAGCTGTTTTACCACCCTCGACCTCGCAATGAAAAACTTGGGAGCGAGGCTAGACAGGTAAATCAAAGCTATTTTAGTCTAGACATAAATAACAGTGTCTCTCCGGACAAAATGGCCACTGTGTGACAAAGGCCCATCATCATATGGTCTTTATAGCAGCTCCATGCGCGCTTAAAGCCTGCACGGGCAGAGCCCCATTGCTAAGAAAATTTGGTAATCGATCCATCCAAGAAATTTTGGTTCAGTGTATGCCCAGCGACCGACAGTCTGTACACCACATGTAAAGCAATGTCAAATGTCACACTTAAATCTGAGGCATAACTTACTATACTATCTGTGTTTAACTTGGTATTGGACATCCATGTTATGATCAATTGAAAGGGTATCTGCTGACCAGTGTCAAATGACTGTATCATGGGCTCAAGTATACAACTTACGGAGGTGACGTACTTTTTAAAGTTATCCACTGACCAGTTTTTGGTTTTCAATTGATCACGGGCTCAGGTCAATTTTTTAAAGGTGGAATTCAGTTTGCTTTCTGCTTACGGAAAAAGTTAAATTACTTGAGAAGGACATTAATTTTCTTAAAGCATCCGTTGGGAGCTTTGCTTTTGGCCTTGGTTAAATCTCTTTAACAATCCAACAATGGTCAAAATAAACTATGGGAAAACCTATCCCAGGTAGAATGGTCACTCTCCCAGCCGAGACAACTTTAGTGAACCATAGGAACTTCTTAGGCCAGAACTCAGATGTTGGACCTTCAGCTAGACATAACTTTCTGCACACTTGTCCTTTCCAGTAATCATTTGGAAGAGGATATAATAATCCTAAGTACTGTTGGCATTTGTCTTGCCTTGTTTGGAAGCAGTGCATGTGGATTTATGTTCCTTCCAATCTGCTCTTTGACAGACCCTAAAAAGTTTAAGATAAGAGAAAGGCTATTGCAGGTACAATAATATTGCTGTTTTCACTATTTTTGATAGCCTTCACAAGTGATTTTCTCGCTTCCTCCCCATTCAGGTCCCACTCTTCTGGCATAGCTTTCAACCCTAAATGTTTTTTAGTGTTTTACATGAATCAGCTAAAAACCCTTTTCATTTAAACCCATTATTTCATGGCTTCAGCTCTTATATCTATACCAATGCATTTGCATGAAAGTAACTTCACGGTTGTATATCTAAATCTAAATCGATACTGTGGAGAGCACAGGGATGGGGTCAGCAAAATTTAATCATCAGCGAGTTGTGGTCAGCCATCTACTCCCTTAAAAATGACCTAATGAGTAAAGTTTTCTTCAGTTCAATAATAATAATAATGACAATGATGACGAAGATGCAGATGATGATGTTGGTGGTGGTGATTATGATAGTGATGATCATGATGATGATGATGATGACCAGTGAGGGTACAAAGAACTGATCTAATACTTTCATATCTCTTGTTGGCTTATTCACCAGTGCGTCATAGTTATTTGGTCAAGCGTTATGTTAACTATAGTTAAATTTCAGCCAGATATTTACCACTGACAAGGTCTGTTCTCATTGACAGTCAAGTCGATATCAGGTCAATCAAAAAGGCTGTGTGTCCTAGAAAAAGCTCCGACAGAGGCAAATCTTGAGCCATACATTTGGAGCTTCATTCATGACAGTTCCCTGTCGTTTCTGGTTAAGCCAAAAATACCACAGCTGAGTGGTATGCGGTGCTGTTTTTCTTTTTAAGAGGCTAATACAATTAAATTTTACATTTCTACTCACTTGCTGCAGTATTTTTTGGTTCTGCACCCAGCACACGACTTCAGCTCACTTTCCTTGACCTTTTTGGTGCAAGCTTTGTTGCCACACCTGGCCCGTTCCGGTAAATCAGCAAAAAGCTGGTACATCGGAGACAGTATATCCTTGAGAGGTATATCAACACGTCTCAGGAAAGGCAACCTTTTTTCTTCAGCATCTTGGCCTTGTTCATAATACCTTTTTAACTCCTTCATGTCAGACTTCAACAGAGCAAGCTTGGCAAGGTAATAACAAACATTTGGGTATGTTTTCCAACAAGAGGGTGCTTCTGCCAGAAACTCTTCCAATCTTTCTCTGGCCGCATCTCCCAACTCTTCAGTGGTCCAGGATTGGTATTTCGAAATTTCTCGCTCCTCTGCGATTTGCTCCTCACTCTGAAAGTGCTTGCACTTTTCTGAGGCTGCAGCTGAGTCTTTCTTTTCAGAGCAAACTCTAGTGGAATACAGAGCCAATAAACAGTACCCAAGCCCTCTTTTGCTTGGAAAATAGGTTGGACAGCACTTCAGGGAATTTTCAAAAGCTTCAGCTGCTGCTTCATAGTTATTGTAAATAATATAAAGTGATGCCAAGTGGTCATATAAGACATGAAGCCAGCTACTGTAGCTTTGGTCAAATCTAAAAGCATCTTCAGCTGGAAGGCTGTTAGGTTCAGCTTTTTGAATGAAATCTATCACATTTGTTATGCACATCACCGTTTTTTCGTCAGTGATATGTGTCTCTTTTGAAAGTTTCAATTCATAAAAACGGAAGGCAAAAGCTACCACAAGGGCTTCAAAGAAACTCCGGTTATTTTGCATGCTTTTCTCACAAAGGTGAAAAATGTCAGGCAACGAAAGATGTATATAAGGAAAAGCTTGTAGTATAGAATTTTCAGTCAAATACCCATGAGCCATAAGAGAAATCCCTCTTTCATCAGCAAAGTTACTCTTGACCAGAATGTCAAACCCCTGGTTTATCAGTCTGAAAGCCTGAAGATAAATCCGTGCTGTTGGGGACCAATGAAACTCACCGAGCATTTCCTCTGAAAATGCAGTAGGCTCAGTGATCGCGAATGGGTGTTGTTTTGCCTCTGATCTTTGCTTAAGTTTTTCTGCCATGATTTCAAGTGACTGATTGAAGGCCTCTGGTTTTGATTCTGTTGCAGTATGCGGTTTATCCTCCACTTCTTCACATTTCCTAAGAAGCTGAAAAAAATTAAGTGCACATTAAGGTAATTTCCTTGTTTTGCAGGAACTGTGCATAATGTTGCATTATCAAAGGTGATGGCAATGTTTCCCCCAGTCACTTGCAAAATCATCATTTCACGCCAAAATTGCCCCTTTATCCTCTAATTGTTGCAATAAACAAGAAAGGTGACCCCCTTTTCATTGGTGTTATTTACTTTCAATGGCTATTCAAAAAACATTTTTTAAGAAGAAAAAATGTGGATGATATAAGTTGTTAAGAACGCTACTAAGGATAACGTTGTTAATGCTATTAAGAACTCTACTGTTGAAAACCACTACCTACAGACATTATGGACCTACTCAACCTCTGTTTGACTTCGACATACTTTCAGTACAACGGCAAACACTACCACAAGTTACAAGGTAAAGCTATGGGCTCTCCAGTTTCTGTTGAAAGGGAGGAACAAGCCCTAGCTACCTACATGCAAACTATACCTCTTTGGTTATGTTACGTTGAGGACACATTCACTGCCGTACACAAAGACGGAATCAACGATTTTCACGAACACCTTAAGACAGAACGTAGACATACAGTTCACCAAGGAGGTCGAAGAAAATTGTAAGATACCTTTTCCAGACTGCTTGGTCACTCGCTACAACAACAAACTACAAACGACTATTCACAGAAAACCGACACATACCGACTGATTACTAGACCAGTCTTTGTACAACCCGACCTCTCACAAGGCTACGACTATCCGGACTTTGACAAGACGAGCGCAACTAGTTTGCAACTCACCTGACAGCCTACAAGACGAGACTGATTATCTTAACAACGTTTTTAGTAAGAACAATTATAACACAGACTTCGTTTGACGGAACACTCACAGTAACACTGATTCCAACACCCAGACCTACGTCAAATCTGGCCCTGTTACGACAGTGACTATACTGTACATCACAGACACGTCTGAAACTATGGCACGTATAGTTACAAACTTACAATACACGTGTTGCACACAAACCGATAACCACTAACGAAGACTGCTTACTAATGTCAAGGACAAAGACAAACCAGAGGACAGACAGGGAGCAGTATACAAGATCAAATGCTGCCACTGCCAGGCTTCTTACACTGGAGAAACCGGCAGAAACCTTAGCATGTGACTGACCGAACACAATCACATTGCTGAGCACCATTTACAGACGAAACATCAAATTGACTGGGACTCTGCGACATGTATAATGTATTCTACAGACTACTATTATATCAATGTCTTACTTTGGAAAGCTGATTTACTAACTTAGAACAAACGCCACTGAATCGTAGCCACCAGTTACCAGCGCTGTACAAATGACTTATTGACAAGATCAAGCAAAACTAACCACAAGAGAACGACTGGAGAACTGACAATTTGACTAACAACAGACGACTGTTTAACTGTGACAATAGACGGATCGAAACGCACCAATTACTGTTTACGAGTCTTCATAGCCAATAACATCATGGCTTAACTGACAGACGACCAATAACGTCGCGACGTAATTGACCAATCAGATTATTAACTATAGCATAATACAATCCACTGATGTGATACAACTCACTTTGTCTCTGAAGATGACTACCGCAAAGGTTGTCGAAATGTAAGTCACTGTCAACAACAACAGTCCTACTGTACTCAACAAAATAATGTTTATACAGGGAGGCTCCCCCCTATAGCAAGTGCTGTCTTGTCGCGCAGACTTGGCTGCTCTGCTTGAATATTCAAATCACGTAGTAATCCTGCCTGTTATGTGGTTCATGGCGGACCGTAAAGGTCAAGTTTTTGTTGATGACCGAGGCTGCGATTATCGTGCAGATGTGATGGGTTTGGGGGGCCAGCGAGCAAGAAGCCGGAGCACACTTTACCTGCAGATTAGCCGATGGCAATTTGGAGCGGATTCGTCGATTATTCTTAAATTTATAGCGCTTTGCGTGGAGATGGTCCATTTTTTTTGTAGCCAGCCTTTAATTCTTCTTTAGTGGATAGTAACCTACGATTACAAAACTCGACAAAATGCCACTTTAACTGGCCAGAAAAGACAAGGAGATGTTCAGTTAAAGGTATGTAATGTTAGCTTTGTTTTGTTATATTTTGACTTCTGGACTATTTTAGTTCATGGGAGATTCCATTGCTCATCCCATTTTGTCCATTTTACTGACACACACTATGTCTCAGCCACCTGTGGTCCAACCCCTTACCCTTTTTTCCCCAAAAAGGGTACCCAATGTAATGTTTAAACGTAATGTTTTTAAGTTTTTGATATAGCTACTTACGTTTAATTTTTACTTATACTTATTTTTAATTTTTTATGCATTTTTTGTATCTTTTTAATCCCTTTGCAATTTTATAGCTTTTTTTTTGTTTTTATAATATATATCTAGTTTTGAGGTCCTTTTTGAAAACCATATCTTTTATGAAAAAGTTTCCTCAATACAGATGATTATTATTATTATTACCCCTCTCATGTAACTTTTATTGACAAATGGGACCCCTTTCACATACCTCATTTAGAACTTTGCATCCCTTTTAACTGCTGTAAATGGGCTGTCTTTTAAATAGGACTCAATCACCAAAATGAAACATTTTCTTGACTTTAGAAAGCCATAAAATTCATCTGTTAGCCCTTTTGGGCCCTTTCACAGACCCAAATGACAGATTTCCCTAGGTTTAGGTTTCCTTTTTCTACGAAAATTAGCCTAACATAAGAGTAAAATATGAAAAATTAAACTTCAGAAAATCGTAGGAATTTTTTTTTCTGTACCTGAATGGAAAGCTCATCTAGAAATTTTTTGGCATTATTCAAGCAATATTCTAGACAATATTTGCTTCTCCGAACAGGTATTTCACAGAAAACAGTTGTTGGGTGCCCCTGAGTAAAGTACTGGGATGGTTTCTGTTTGTATAAGCGTAATGATTCCATAGCATTTCAGAACACTACCAAGCTGCTACGTAACAAGTAGACAAATGAATTCCAGGTGGTCCTGAAAGCAAGCAGCTCTGAATTTTGCTACCTGTAACCATTGTACCATTGTCTCATTTTAGGCCATCCCCTTTTTTTTCGTTTAGCGTTGAATGCATTTCCTGATATTGGGTCAGTCGGTTGGATTGAAAAAAAAAACTAAAAAAAAATCACAAGAAGTCTCGGAATAGGAGGACCTAGTACCCTGGGACGACATTAAAAGTTAACTTTCACATAACTGGATTAACAAAATGTACAATTTGCTGTAAAAAATGTTCCTGTTTTTCTCTATGGTGTTACTATGATCATTTTTCAGATGGATTAAAAGAATTATTCCTATTGAAAAATGGTTTAACTTACTACGTCATAACCCTTTTTTTTTTCCTTTGAAAATGACAAAAATTTGGGTCTGTCGCACGATGCTGAACGGAGAAAAAAAAGAGGATGGCCTTATGAACTTGCTAGAATGTGACTGGCATGGGCCCTTGCCTCTTGGGAAAGTAAGCATGTACATACAGTTACTTGCTCAGTAGGAAAATCTACTTGTCTCACGACCAGGTCAAAATATTTTTGAGCCCTGTTGAGGTGTGATCTAAAATTCAAGTTGCCAATTTGTCAACTTATTTACACGATTTGCGTGGTTATTAAAGCAGAAAGGTAGTTTTGTGAGCCCCTATGAAGTTAAGGAAACCATGAGCCAAGAAGGCCCATGAGGCCAATAAAAATCACTTGTTACTGCTAACAAAACCAATACACATGCAATTTTCAAATTTAAATAACACGTGTAAAAGTTTTTTAACACATTGATAAGATCCATATTAGACCGACCTGTTTTGCCACAGCATCACCATTTGCGGACGCTTTCTTGAGCCACCTTCTTGCTTTTGAAACGTCTTTGATTTGCTCACAACTTCCATTTAAGTATATCTGCCCCAAGGTACATTGAGCCTCAGTATCGCCTATTTCAGCTGCTCTTGTCAAGTAATGAATTGCTTTAGTTGGTTGTGGACGGCCTTCCGGACATTCACCCTCAAGATAATACTTATACAGACATTTCAGAGACCTTAGCTTTGAGTCGTTCCCGAGTTTTCTCATCGTCCCAGCCAGCAATTTTTGCACTGTTCCCAATTCATAATCACTCGCACCTTCATCAGCGGCCATTTTATACCATTTAAAAGCTTCTTTAATGTCTTCGTTCACAACTCCTTCAACTCCACATCGATACATTTCTGCAAGATTGAGTTGTGAATTTCTGCATCCTAGTTTCGCTGCTCTGTGATACATCTCATAAGCCTTTTGCTGATGTCGTACGGTTCCTTTCCTATCTAATAACTCCCCAAGTTTTCCTAGGAAGGCGGGAATTTCATAACCCTTGTCAACAGCAGTGCTAAGCCATCCGATTGCTTTGTCGTCATCTTTCGGCAAGAGATCGCCAAAACCCTCTGAGTAAGCACACCCCAAATCTGCTTGGGCGTCGATTTCGCCTTTCTTTGCCTTATCGATTAATTCTTCGATTGATCCATATTTGTCAATACAGTATTTCTGGAAAGTAAGATCATTTGGAATAGGAAAATTCATGATTGAAAATGGAGGAAGATCCTCACAGTCAGTCATGAGGTTTGGGCTTTGTGGTCAGCGGGTGTCATCTAAAAACAGGTAGGTAACTCATATACGATTATTGTAATGTACCTACCATGTACTTGGGAAAGGCTTACGCAAGAGGAGAGTTTTCTGGATTCGAGATGCCGGACATTTTTGTACCGTATTACACGCAGATGTGTAATACGACCTACAATCTTGGAGAAAATAAGTGGAAAACCTAGACCCCCCATCCCCCCCAAAAAATCAAAATTGGGAAAATGGTGCGTTTTTGCCCTTCGCGCGGCTTCATCCTTGATTTGGTTGGGTGGGGGCAAGGGGAGGGGGGAGGGGGAAATGGCGATTTGCTGTTCCATCTTATTCTGCCCAAGATTGTAGCCTAGGATGTACTGTGTAGAATTACAATTACTTACAGGCCCGTTTCTCGAAGTAGCGGTAATTACCGAGCCCTGACAAGCTATTTTGTTCGCATTTAAGATCGAGTTTTTAATAGCTTTGAATATAATGCAGCTAGTTAACAAATAGAAACAAGTAATATTTGGTGTCAGGCCAGAAACGTTACCAGGGCTTTCCAGAAACCCGCCCGAAGTATAGCCACGAATTAAAATAAAAGCGTACGGGACTTTATTATGTGACCATGAAAGCTCTCGATAAAAGTATTCACGAGCTACAAAGCCATTCATTTTTTTTAAATTTCATTTATTTCCTCCTAACACACATTACATAAACAAAGATACTTAAATACAAAAGAAATACACTTAATACAAAAGAAAAAATTAATTAACAACTTGAGAGAAAGGTTGCTAGAGAGTGTATTGCATAGAAGAAATATTTTCTTTTGACTTTTAGAATCTGTCCACTGTTGGATTTCTTTGAAAAGCAGGGAGAAAAAAGGAGAGTTCTCTCAAATAAATGCCTATTACAAATATATTCTGCAACAGATAGTTCTAAATTGTTGTGTTTGCAACTACAGATATATACAAAACCTAGCCAAGGGTAGACAATGACTAAATAAAATATCTCCTTCTTTCCTTGTTAAGACCTAAACATTTATTTGTTTCTAAAACGCCAGAGGCTTCCATCAAATCAACTGAAACCGGGAAACCTGTGACATTATTCCAAAAAGGTCTTGTCACGGTTTAAGTGCAAATGATTTTTGATAACTCAAGTAATCCTCGGGCGAATCAAATTTTAAGACACTCAAATCCACTATAGCTAATTGTTTTTGTTGCTAAAGAATATCAGTTAGCTTCCGAGTCACTGTTCCGGGATTCCTTCTCTTGTCTCGCTCGTTCGTTGGCCATTGCTAGCTGTCGCATGTTTAACAAACATCCAGCTGCAGCCTCCTGTAGTCCAGCATCATCAGAACCAACCATCTCCAACAAGAGCTGCAAATCAAAACAGGATCATGCAATTGGTCTTGGTAACGCTACAGCAAAAAGGGCAACAGAAACGTTCAACTTGGTTTATAAAACGAGTTTAAAAGCTGTGTTGCGCCTTTTACTACCCGTGTTCAAATCTGTCTGGACCCTTTTTAGACCTTTGCTTTGCCTTAAGCCGTAGCGGTCAGAGAAAGCATGTGCTTTGTAAATATTGATTCAGCAAGGGAAAAGTCATGATACTTTCGAAAGAGGCTCGTTACCTTGACGACTCCACTCCGGTGCATTATGATACAGCTTTCCGGATTCTTGCCTAGTTGTTCAAGAGCCCGCATTGCTGACCGCTGCACAATGATGTCATGTGATCCCAGGTACTCTACCATAGGCTTGACAGCACCTTCATCACAGAAGCGCTTGGCATTGTTGCCCCATTTGCTGCACATAGCGATAGCTTCAGCCAAGTGACGCCTTAGACGTATGTCAGTCTAAAAAAATGAAACAAAAAGGACTCTGATGATAGAAATGTTATTGATGTCACGCGTTCAAGTGAAAACGATCATTGCATGTGCACGCTATACAGAAAATCATTAGAAACCTTGCATTTCTGGGCAAACAATCTTCGCATACATGTACTATAGCCGATAACATAGCTTTCAGGAATATACAGTAGCAGGAACCCATAACAAGGAGTGAACAACTTCCTTGCGCTTGTGTCACAGCGTTTTCTCGGACCAGTTTATTTTTAGAACGGTTTTGGTGCAGATTTTGAACATTTTTTAAACTCCATACACTATTCAGCAAAACCTACAAACCTTATTAATGTATTTTTGCCTTTTAATAACGTTCCGTTTTCCTTTTTGATATCTTTTTTGATATGCTTCCAATGCGCCCATAGACATGGTAGAGATTCTATTTTCGCGGGAAACAGTACCCTAAAATGTGTCTAAATATATACTGGTCCGTAAACACGCCGTGACATGGGAGTCGCACGCTCCGGGTTATGGGCTCCTGACAGTAGCCGGGAGTATATAATGAGGGTGTCGAAATCCCTGATGACGCAACAACAATAAGAACAATTACGAAAACGACGACAACTAGTAATGACTACAGCTTTTTCAGCTTTTAAAGCTTATAGTTATGGCGATTGGCGATGGTAAAGGAGAGGTACTGATGGTATAGGGGTTATGATTATGACGATAACGATGACGATGATAATGGTGGTGATAATTATGTGAAGTATGAAATGCCAACGATGAAATCTTAATGCTGATGTAAGTCTATTGATGATTAAAACCATACTAATCGCTAAAAGTAAACAAACCCTTTATTTATCTCTAAGAATATGCTGCTCCAGCAGTTTTAAATTAGTACAGCGGATTATCTTCTTACCATATGCGTAAGATGAGCCAAGTGAGGAACAACGCCATAATCTGTGATGACGCCAAGGTTCTCTCGATCACAGGCCACGATAGATATCACTGCGCATGCGCTTGTAAGAACCTGAAATAGTTGAAAAGATATATAGTACCTTCTCGATGCGCAACGTAAAATGGTAGCAGAAGCAAATTATTTCAGTGGCTGTAATGGTTTCTATTCGAATACAATGACGAATTTAATGGAAGGATGCAGGGATAACCACTTCAGTTCTCTTAGTTGTCTTCAGTTTAGCAACTTTTTTCAGTGAACAGTTGCAACTTACCTCCAAGTCATGTGACTTAAGCAGACGAACACTCAGATCTAGTCCTCCAACAAAAGATCGGGCTGTTTCCCAGGCCTCCTACAGATAAATTTGAATTTGATCTCATTACAGAAATCCATTTAACCCTGATGTAAGCGAGAAGGGATGTAAATGAACGTTGTGTTTAAGTAAACGTTTCCGCACGCGACCTCACGTAGCTAATGAACCGGAAACTCTGAAACTCTCCTCGATTTAATTTTTTGGACGATTGCATTTCCAAGATAAAACTTTCTTGTTAAGTCTAATCGCATTATAACAAGGTTTAAATGCAAGTCAAAATAGTTTCTTGGGCAAAATCGCGCACTATGCAATAATCACATCTGTGCATATGTTTCGAATTTCATGTATACCGTACCGGTGTGTCCTGCATTAGTCTGTACACTGCCCACGCTGCAACGGAAACTACCTGAAAAACCAGCAGCATCAAGCAAAACCTTTAGTTTTCTTTAAACTGCTGTAATAATCTACTAGTATTAAAGGGACTGACCTGACAAATCAGCACTATGTGACCGTTTGCGAAAAGTAACTTAATGTCATTTTAGCACAATATATCGTCAATATATATCGTCAATATATACTACTCGCCTTGTTGTTTCTTGACTTCATTAGGGACCACAGAAGTCTTAGTCCTTCCAATCTATTGTATACTCTGAAATAAAGTATACTTAGATGTAACTGAGCTAGTCCAGATCAAAAGACACTTGTAAGTTTAAAAGCTGTGCGATGTAACATTAAACATGGAAATTGCTTTTGTTTTACTTAACAAACCTGTTTCGTGCTACATTTTGTAAATGTGACTATTTTCCATGGAAAAAGGCTAATTTCCAAAAAATTGGTAACTTTCTTTGAATCGATTGTAACCCAAGAGTTTGAGTGCTTGGGCTATTATATAGAAATTTTTATTTCCAAAGATTGAAAATTTATCTGAGTCTTTTCTGTGGAACGGTGAAACCATAGATCAGGGCCTGAACAATACAACATCATCCTTTTAAAAAGATAACACCAAGAAATAATTTTACTGAAACAAATACGAATAGCACCATCGCCACTTACGATCGACAGCCAACTTCTACCGCGCATGCGGCAATAGCTCTTGCCGCTGCACTGGTGAGTTCCTCATTTGGTATGTTGAGAATGTCAACTAAAGTCCTGCAACCTTTGCATCGTAACATTTCCAGTGGAGCTCTGGGATCTTTGGCAAGTTCAGCGATGGCCCCGACAATATGAAGTTGAACCTTAATCGGGTTATGAGAACGATTAAAAGTCAAATGGCGCGTATGAGAAGGGAACGAGTAAACTATTACAACTTACAAGTGTTATCGCTAGTTTTACCAAATGATAGATTAGGAAGCAGTGCAATACTTCTAACCCCCATAACAATAGGAGATACAGGTCATAGGAGGCAATGAACATAGCGGAAGTCTAGGGGAGATGCAAACCATGCCAAGGATTTCTGGTTAAAACTGGAGATTGTGCAGGTACAGCGCACGATAGTTAAATCAAAAAACAAGTTTAAAAGGGAGTATGACTTTTCTGTAGCATCATCTTACAATATATCGTTTGAAAGCTTTTAAGAATAAGAAGGTAATTACGTTTTGAATTTCTATTTTGTTAACATTAGAGTCAAGGTAGTTAAGAGTGACTTTGGACAATCTGCGCAACTAACCTGTTCCGGAAGTTCCTCTGTTTCTTCTTCTGCTTGAAGAAGTTTAACAAGTGTCTCCACAACGTTGACTTCCATCAGTCTGAGTGAGAGAATAACGGTTAGTCTTCAGCTTATGAAATAACGTTCAAGACTACGCATAAATAAGCGAAATACTGAACATGGAAATGAAAACGAAAGAGAATAAGAGAAAGGAAAGAAAAAGTGGGTTCCTACAGGTACATCCGTCCCACCTGGACGGAACATGAGAACCGCCCAAAATCAACTTATTTCCTCCAGCAAGCGGGTGGTGACGAAGACTTTGCATTTCTTTGAAATTCAGCTCTAGCCAAATTTACACTTGGTGCTCTGAAAGTTAAATCTTATCTAAACTATTGTAATGATATTAATTTTTTCCGTTTAAGCGCGGTAATGGATCCACTGCAAGAGAATAAGAGAATGAAGGCAGACATCTGGTTACCTCTCTAGTGGAATTCGGTTTACTAATTCAAGTTCTGACATAAATAAGTCGTTTTGCCTGTAGACATGCTATTCTCGAAGGCCCGCTTAACGTGAGAAAACACCAGTTCAAGTCCTCAATAATATGCGCCCTTTTGTTCTCGCTTGGCCCCTTCCAGTGTATCAGTACAGCATCAATACCTTTTTACGTTGTATTCACTTATTGCACATTTCCAAATAGCTCCTGTCACTGCGGCCAACAGCTTCTTGTTATCTTGGCGGGAGAGGAGTGAAACGAGTGTGTCCAGTCCTGCGCAGTCATACACAGCTTTCCTCGTGCCTTCGTCCTCTGCACACTGCCATAAAAAGGCGGGAAAATTATCGACACGGGCCTAACATTATCTTCTTGCAACCCTTTGAGCCCTAGTCGTGATTTGTCGTGATCAGCATCTAATATCCCTCTATGATATGATTGGTTACTTAAGAAAAAAGTCATGAGAATATATGAATTGAGCACGAAAAATAATTCTAAAATAGTGTAGGAAAATCTCCAGTGAGTCTTCCACATGGCCGAAAAAGTGTTGGGGCAATTTTCTCGTTTAGAATCACTATATCACTATTGTTATAGGGGAGGGGAGGGGAGAGTAGTGGGCAAACCTGACTCAGTCAATGTAGTGGTCACCAACTCACCTTAAATATTGCATTGGCACAGTAACCTTGGAGCTCTTCATTATCTGTTTGCAGCCGACGAACAATAGCTGTTATTATATTCTCCTTGTAAAAAGCTTCCCTGAAACGAGACTATAGAAGAAAAAGAGCGAGTGATACAATGTAGCTCGGGTATCAATCCCCCCGCCTCACCACGCCCACTTGGCTTTTTATCGTCATCTGCTTCCTTATATACTATGTTTTTTTTAACAATACGATGCCATTTCTAAGTAACTGCGTATGCAAGTAGGGTATTTGAAGAAATACGTGTTAAATTGTTATATATCTGCCTTTACTAACTCGGGTCACATGATATCTAAAGGAAGCCAAAGCTAGAAACGAGAACAATTAACGCTGACCTCCCTGGCGTGAAAAATAACAGCAGGAAGTTTTTCTTTGTGTCAGACTTAAGCATTTAACCCAGCGAAACACCAAACTTTCAGACAGGGCTGTCTTGGAACTACTCCACAGTGCATTTACTTAATTTACCTCCACAGCGCACTCTTGTGCTAGGCCTACTATGGGAATAAGAAATTCCTCTTTGTCCAGCTTGATGAGTTTAGCGAGTAAAGGCACGCTGCCAGCCTTGTAAATTGCTGACCTATATCAGAAGCAATTCGAGATCTTCATATAAGAGTACAATACATTTCTACATTGTGCATCTTAGACAGTTTGGTAGGCTCGATTTCGGCCGTCTCCCGGGTCCGGTCTTTGATCCTCCCCGAAGAGAGAGGGCTGGACGCATGACCCGTTGACCTTGTCTGTGACGCAATTGGAACATTGATAATTTAGGTGTCTCCGATGTCACTGGAAGTGAATTTCTTGTTTATTTGGCTCCAAATTGCATCAAGCGCTCCCTTACTCACCCAAATGACTTTCGAAATCGCTGTTTCGGTACATTTCCATACATTGCGAAAAATATTCTTCGGTACATTTCTGTACACGGCGACATGGAGTTAATTTTCTATTAGTTGCGTCTCTTGTGGATCCGAACTGACTGATTCTTGGACGCGGACCAAATTAAATGGAAGAGTTTCTGATTTACCAGACAGAATTTCCAGTGTATTCAATGTTCCTCCGTCAAATATAATTTCGGGGGATGAGTGCGGGCTCATTTTCCCGAACAGCGGCTGGTAATCGAGCCTAACAGTTTGGGTGATCGCGAGCGGTCGCCACTCTTTCTTCAGAGCCAAGCGTGCCGAGTGAAAAAGTAAAATTATGGATGGGCTTCTGCCTTCGTTCCTCGCTGCTTTGCGGCTTGCCCTGACGCGTGCTCTCGATCTACTGTGACTCAAAATAAAAATAAGATGCTTGCCGCAGTCTCGGTAAAGATAAGGGCTACTGATTGCAGTTAGAATAACAAGGATAATCGGCTTTTGTCTCTCCGGTTTAATCACTCGTTGTCGTGCGAAAATAGTAAAGAGAATGCTATGAAACCACGACGGCGATGTCAGACAAAATGTCACCGGAACTGAAAGGAAGACAATTGCTAAATATTATCGGCGCTATGTCGTTGTGGGTGTCGCTAAAATGATCGACTACTGGTAGTGTGATAGAAGATACTGACGAACTTAAAGTGCAACACTCAGTATCGCTCGACCAGATTTACTTCGTTTTGGTTTTGGCCTAAACCAATCACAACGCACCAAACTGATACCCAAAAATGGTAATGGCTAGTTACGTCACATACCTACTGCGCGTGCTCTTACTGCAACTCCACAGCGCAAGCGCGGCATTACGCGCAACTTCTAGTTTTGCCCCGTCTTGGCCTGGTGACTGGTTGTCTGGGCGGCGTCCCTTTCCATCTTCGTAGTTTAGTAAATCCACCTACAACAAAAAAAGAAAGAAAGAAACAGAAACAGGGTGCTGATGAAAATTCATCGGTTACATGTGTGTAAGGGGCCCTAAGCAAAATCTACTGAAGCTGTTGAATACTCCAGTCATGTCTAATACTGTACTGCCGCACTGTCATGGACCGTTAAAAGCCGCGTTGACCACGGATCGTACGCTTTGTACAAACTCTCAGCATTGCTACCAGTCCATATTCTGAGCACCTGCGAAGCGTGCATCCCATGCATCATTACATCAGGGCACAATTTGTTACGGTTCGTGCGGTCTATATAGAGTGCTTGATTGATACGGATCGTAAATTCCTCGTTATATAAAGCGAACGAAGCACGTTCCAAATGTAATATTCCTTGTTCTATAACCAATAAAGCACAAAAAGCACGCTCTAACAGAATTTCTCGGTCCATACGAGCATGGATCGCAACATGTTTTATACGGACCTTTATTACAGGAGGGGTATATTGGACAGCCCTCGGAAGACTCGGTCGGGAAGAATAAACGCGTGTGTAAAAGATAACATAAATCTTTTTAAAACCTTCCGTTAGGAAAATTTCTGGCAAAAGGTTTCCCATATCCTCGAATACTCACGAGTTTTTGTATCCCGTCATGTCGCTTTAGAATGTTTCGTCCCAAACTCGACTTGGCCATGTTCGACAGATTAGCTGCAGCTAAACCTTGGACTCCCTGTGCACGAGCATCGTCGATGAGATCAATCAAAATCTGGACAACTTAAAAGTGATGAAATTCGAATTAGATATTATACTACGGCATGCAATAAAAGGAAGGAAGGAAGGAGTGTGGAGCGGAGGAGAAGAATGCAGTCGAACCTCCATGTGCTACCACTTCTAGTAAGCGACCACCTACCATAAGCGACCGCCTATCCAAAACACCGAAACTTTCCCTGTAAAAGCCTTACAGTTGAACTTCTAGTAAACGACCACCTTCTGTAAACGACCGCGACCACTTTTTGGGCCTGAAAGGTTAATGATTTCCTATGGTTTTTAACCTCTTGTAAGCGACAAATTGACGTATTCTCTGATCTCTATGTTCGCTGTGCGCTCTGTGCTACTTTGAATATACGAAGAATTTTAGTAACAAAATGGAACTACACATGGCGTAACTTACAAATTGCATGCAATAAATTATCTTCCATAAAATTGATGTACCCGGACCTCTTCTCAGAAGAGGCTCCCCGTGGTTCGATTCTTGTAAGCGACCACCTCCGGTAAACGACCACCAAGTCTTTGCATTTTGGGCGGTCACTTACGGGAGGTTCGACAGTATAAGGAAAACTGCGGGATATGGGAGAACGGGTAGGAAGAAGGGAAATTTAAGGAAAGATGAAAGTGAATGAAGGGAAGGATGGAAAAATAAACACGAAAGGGGCTGAGAAAAAAGGAAGACAGTTTTGGAAAAGGAAAGGACTGAAGAAGAAGAAAAGGAGAAAGGGAGGAAAATTAAAGGAAGAAAGGACGGGAAGGATCAATCTCGTCCCTGAAGGAAGGTATGAAATTATGGGAGGGAAATTGGAGGCAGGAAGGGAAATATCAAGACCGAGACTGTAAATTATAATTACCTCCTATGTTAATTACTGCTCGCCTGTTGTATTTACTGTTTAATGTTAACTGTCGAAGAACCTTTAACGCACCAATCTATTGAGCAAAAACAAAAGAGCTGAATTAGACCCTAATAAACACTCAGTTGTTTTATTCTCGACCTCCACTGTGGACTACGTGCTTATTGACAATCGCGATGTCTTTAAAACAGTCTGCCGGGACTTTGATAAGAGGAAATAAGCATTAACTACTTACCTGTAAAGTCTCAGCACAGATATTTTTTTATTATATAGATGATAGATGATACTAGGTTATATTAGTAAAATGTAGGGAGACATAACCAAGCAAACGATGGAAGTATCCGGTCATCAGGGGGGGGGGGCGGGGTATAGGTATTATATGAATGATGGTTATATTACTAAAATGTAGGGAGACATAACCAAGCAAACCATGGAAGTATCTGGTCATCGGGGGAAGGGGCGCGGCGGGGTAGACAGCAAATTGTTGCGCGGATGTACTCCATCAAAGGCCACTGTCCACACTTCTCTATATAACAATTTCTCCTGACGTTAGCCCTTTTATATCCCTTCCACAGAAGTGGTAATCTTTTCTTTTTCCTACAGCTTGACAATGTTGTATACCTTTTCTGCCCTGAGAAAGCGTTGAGAAACTAGCCTGAACTGATCAGCGTTTAGGGGGTGGGGGGGTTATTCCAGACACCTTGAAAGGTCCTCATTGAATGCCTAAATGGGAGGGGTTTTTTTGCCCTTGTCTATACCTCATCTCGTGTATTCCCCCCCCCCCCCCCCCTTCCCAAAGTGCTTGAGTGAAAACCTCTTCGGGAGGAGCCCCACCTTGAAGCCTGTTCGAGGAAGTCCCTCTTTCTTTACCTGGCAATTAATGTGATCAGTTCTAAGAATATTGACAAGAACTGCTAGTCCATTAACATCTCTTATGGCCATCTGTGTCATCTCCTGAGTTAAGTTAAAGTCAGTCAGAGAACACAGTGTAATCACCGTGGCGACTTGGTTACCAATCTAGAAAAACAGGATTTAAACAGATTTAAATTGAGTGGGGCTTTCGAGTTACTCTTGCCACTGCTTTATTCCCAGTAGATCGCTTATCCGGGGATATTTAGTCATCTATTCAGGAAAGCGAGAGCGAAGGGAGGGATCCGAAGAGGGGAATTTTGCCTTCCCATGACCCTTTCGCTCAGCACTCGTCTCCAACATCCGTACGACCATGAAGAAGCCAGCAGTCTTTCTTCACGCGCCACTTTCACGCCATTATGCCGTACTGTTTTCCCCTGTTTGTGGCTTTTCTTGCTTCTAGTTGTCAATCAGTTCCCGTATTCATTGTTTCAACCGAGACTCTCACCTTCAAAAACTTGATGAGCCTTTGTATTTGCCAGTACTCCGAAGGAAGGTCAGCGACACTCTGCATAAACCAGAAATAAAATCATCAGTTCACTCCAAGGAAGTAATCATCACTTATCCATGTTACGTTTTCTTTTGAGCAGTTTTCGCCAAAAGGCCCAAAAGGAATTGGCAACGTCGGTCTGACCTTGTTAGATTTCATTCAACTCTTTGCGCACCCATTCTTCTTTTAACTCATGTTTTGTACCTGAGCGCCTTACTAAGTCAAGTGCACCCTAATACATTTTTCTATATACAACACTTCTTTAAAAAATTTTTATTTGTAATAGGTCTCAATAATATTCTCATATATGTATATACCTATTGCCTTTCCAATGGCAAATAGCAGTCTTAAAATTCGAGGCAAGTACTATACTTAAAGTTGAAAGTGAAGCGCCCGTTGATTGATTTATAATAGACTTCAAACGACAAACTTTGGCGGGCGGGCGGACGTACAGTCACGTGACTCCCAATATTTGTCGAAGGGATAGATAACCATATTACCTCGATTAGTCTATGCTATTAGAAATTAGCCGATTGAAGATATCTTTTTACTTTAAAGGCTACGCTCGAGCGCACGTAAGTAAGCTCCACCGAAAAGTGATTAATGCTGGTCTTATCTATAGCTGGCTCACCACTTTGCCGTCTAGCACTCGGTCATCTTCCTCCTCGCTCTCTGTCGAGCTCTCTGCCTGAGCGGTTGGAATTCTGGAGACTGTTGACCGTCTGTGTAGGTTTTGCCTGTTATTTTGACTATATGTAAAACGCAACAATATCATCAGAGCAGTTAGAATATTGAATGTGCGGTTAAACATACCGTGGGTTCAGCCTGTAATTAAAATCAACTCAACTTTTATTGATATATCACTTCTTGAACTTTTCACTGTATGGATCTGAGGGTTTTACTGAAGAATCATGTAGATGGCGGTTATTTTGACTTAAACATGCAGTTTTAGATACTATGTTAACCTATCCCCTAGAGGTCACCAGCGTACCCCCCCTCCCCCATCTACCCTCTTCCGCCTCCATGGTGTTTATTTTGGAACACTAGCTTGCCGATCTGTTAAGAGCAAATAAAAGGTTATGAACAGACTAATATGCCCAATTTCTTTGTAAACCTTTCGACAAAGCACGCACGTTACCTTTCCTTGCGAGTTGGCTTTACTTTAAGTGGAGGTTTTATGACTTGTTTCTCCTCATCTTCACTGCAATAGTGTATAACAGGTTACCAGTACTAATGTTATACGGTACTTTATTGATCAGTCTCTTTCATTGTATCAGGGTCTGGAAGTACAGGCCTACGCGGGCAAGGCTAAATCTGACAATTTGGAATTATCTTTAAAAGTGTTCATACCTGTCATCTCCAACAACAAGTCTTAAGTTTTTCCACCTTTGAGAAGGCTTTCGTTGAGTTGGTGGTTTTGAGTTCTTAGTTTTCTTTTTTACTTTCTTTTTATCAGGCTTCCTGCTAAAACAAGAAAAAAAGTTGATGGAGACAAATTTAATCCACATGACGTCACGGCGACCATATTGGTGGTCCAAAACAGTGGAATGGCGTCCACGTTGGTTTTCGAAACCAATCCTGTGGGAGATGAACTCTTTTCTTATGTAAACGCTTTCCTTTGTTCCAATGAATTTGCATAGATGCTGGCCAGGTGAGTAAAAACGCTCTATACTCTTAATACGCTTGTTTGCATCACATGGTCTTGCATGTTTGGCCTAAACATGTATGTGATCCCTGAAAGTGTTGTTAAAGGGGTCGCCAGTCGTATACAGGGTGCATAATTTCACTATTTAGCGTCTTGAACAGGGTATCTTTGTGGACTGGCGGCCTTGACCAAGGTATTTGAAATGAAATGAATCGCGTCAAAAAAAGTCTGGTCTAATTTGGGTCGACCTAAATTAAGTTAAGATCGTTTGCTGGGTCAGACGGCGGGGAGCAAGGGCGGCGCAGTGGTGAGAGCGCTCGCCTCCCACCAATGTGGCCTGGGTTCAACTCCCGCCGTCGACGCCATATGTGGGTTGAGTTTGTTGTTGGTTCTCTCCATTGCTCCGAGAGGTTTTCTCCGGTAATCCTGTTTCCCCCTCTCCTCCAAAACCAACATTTCTAAATTCCAATTCGATCTGGAACGCACGGACACCTTTAAACGAGTTCATATGCACTCCTATGTGCTTCGTGGGTAAACAAGCAGTTTTTTTTTTTAGTATTTTCTCCCAAACCCCACGAGGCTAAATATACAATTTTTTAAATTTACTAGTTTAGTTAGTCGCATGTAAACATCGATGTTTGTCCTGGAGACGATGTTCAGACGTCCTCAGGGTGCGTCCTATCTTGGTCTGAAGCAGACGGATAGAACGTGTTAGACGATCCAAACTCGTTCAGACGAACTTAACTTAACTATTATAAGTTTGGTTCGTCTCATGAAATGTTCGACATTTGGTGAGGCCTCTTATGTCTTAAACAGAATACCGCTGAGTATAGTGAAATGAACAGCTTTTTTGTTAGAAAAGGTCAGGATTCGAAGACCTCACCGACATATCTTGCCAACAACTTTCCCAACTTCCCTTAATTGCCTCCTGGCTCGTGCCTCGACTCTCAGGACGCTTCTATTTGCACAAAGCGATTTTGAGTATTCTAAGGTGTTTCAAACCACGCCAGTGACAAATAAGCAAATTGAGCTAAAGCTAACTTCCAGTGCTTAGGCAAATATAGGTAAAGATGTCAAATGTTTTGTTTCTTAAAATACTTAGGCAGCTTTATGAGATATCTATTGTGAAAGGAGTTATTTCTAACGGTACCAGTTTTATCTGAGTTTCTACTCCGGAAGTCGGTTGTACCTTTCTGCTTGCTTTTCATTTTTCTTTTTCTCAGGTTCTTGCAGTATTTCCTCGTCTTCTGATTCACTTTCACTCAAATACTTGCTGAGGAACGAATTCTACAAAGAAATACAGTCCATTTAGGACTCTGTCACAAACTAATGACTTGGCCAAGTTGGGGTGTTGCGAAAGACGTTGTTGGCTAGGTTTTGTCTTTTTTTTTTGGTTGGGTCAGTCTCTTTTCGATCTTTTTTTACGATAGCATTTGGTTTGCACCATCCCCCAGGGGCGGATCTAGGGGGAGGGTGCAGGGGGTGCGCACCCCCTCCCGGGATGACCTGCAGCTTTGTAATTAATTAGCACTGTGCAGTCGCTTCACAGTCATACAAACTCTGCTGTATCGTTAAATATGTATTCTCAGCAGTTCACATTATGTTATTTCCTAGTCAAAAGCCCTCTTCTTCGTGTTCGCTTTTAAAATTTTCTACGTCATCAGTTAGTTAGTGGTGCACCCCCTCCTAAGAAAAATCCTGGATCCGCCTCTGTCCCCAACACCAAGAAACTACCACCAAGCTCAAGTAAGTGTTTTCGCCTCCATCAAACGGCATACTTACTTTTTCATTTTCTTCCTCTGTCATTTTTTTTTGGCTTGGAGGGTCGTCATTCGAAGAGTCTGCTGTTTTCTAAAAAACAGATAATTTTTTATCATTAACGTAGGATATTCTCTCGAGCCATGAAGAATTCCACAAAGGTGACAAGCGATTAAGGTCCATCGCATTTAGCTATAACAGATGTTTTGTTTAAATTAGTAGAAATCTAACAAAAACGCTGGCGAATTTTTCAAGCTGAGCGGCCAAAAGGCTGTCATTGTAAATTCCATTAAAGACACTGAACGCAATAAATAATCGCATCGCAAAATAACATATTTGGCCATGCGCAGTATTAATCCGAACAATAAGCCAGAGTAATTCGATGACATACCTCGTCTGCGTCCTTGGTTTCATAACTTGTTTTATTTTCCTGTGGTATAAAAAAAAAGGAAAATGAAATAAAGTCAAACCTGTACTAAGCAGACCCTATATTAGGAGCGGGGGAAAGGAAACCTTTTATTTATTAGCTGTTTGGTGGCTGAGGGAGAGACTGGGTCATGTGATGTCGTATTGTACTATGGGACTGTTTTATGGACGCCATGTCTTCTTTGGTTGGCTTTTACAAAGTTGCGCAGCAAAGTGGGTCGGAATCTGTCAGCCAAACATTTCCAAAGTGCTATTCAACACACAATGACCTTGTCTTTCAACTTAAAATGCCCAATAGCCCAACTGCAAAATTTATCCTTTACTAGACATGTAGTGATGCAGAAATACATCATTCATTTGAATCTTACAATGTCTTCGTTGGCTTCGTTTCTATTTTCTGCAGCAGGTCTTGTATCCTTGAGTGTTTCTGGTTCCTGGAAATTAAAATATCAACGTAAAAAAGTGAGTACGAGGGTTGGAACAGAGGAAAAGAACCAATCAATGAGCTTCTAAGGAGAACACAGCTTCAGAAAATGAGAGACTAGCTTTGACGCTTTTTATTTTCCATGCATCTTTTTGTCTCAACTGTTTCGTTTGCTGAAGCGTGCAAGATACGGCTTGGCCAAACACAAAAAATTTACGGGGTTATGGGGCTTGAAATTTTGCTCTTACAAAGTTATGATCGGTTTGTCCAAACTGAAGCTATTCAGTACGTGCCTTGAACTTTTCCTCTTTATCATTTCTATGTTTTGATGAATTCTTTCGAGTTCCTGGCTTGCTTTCGTTCCGTATAATTTCTGCCAACTCCTAATGAAACAATTGTAAAGGAAACAATAAAGAAGTTCTTGAGGAAATGAATTCACTCAAAAATTTAAATTTGTGGGAGATTTTCTGAACATTGAATAGATTTGGTTAAAAAAACAATAAAAAGGATCGTTTAAGAAGTACAACTTACTATACCTCAAACCGCGCATCCATTTCATTTTCAATGTCCGACATTCTTACTTTGTTATATGGAAGAGAAGAGATAGCAAACGGGCAGCATGAGGCAATGGAAGCGAAGACGGTCTGAGAAAATGCAAAAAATAATTTGGTAAAAATCTAGCATCACGCTTGATCAATGCCGGGGGGATACTGCCATATATGGGCTATATAGGTATGTGCCGCTGCAAAGGGTATGGTTTTCAAGCAGTTTACTCTAGGATAGGGTATATAAATCAGAGCGTTTGGCTCTAGAATAGGGTATCAATTTTCAGGAAACTGATCAGTTGGTTGAAGATTTTATCTAGATTAGGGATTGTGGTATAAGGTTTTGTTTTGGCTAGACTGTGCTAGTGACCTCAGTAGTTTCTGGAAAACAGCTACTCTAGGATAGGGGGGATTTGGGGAGTTTACTCTAGTATAGGGTAACAAAATTCAGCTGAACTAGCTCTGGTATAGGTTAAGGGTTCCAGGGTCTCAGCGGCTCATCCTCACTCAGAAATTCCTAAAGTACCCCCCCACCGGGGATCAATGACACATATACGTAGGGTTTTTACTGCCTGAAAAATCGCTAAGATTAGCATTACCACCAAAAAGTGAGTTTGCATACTAAACTACAGTCATCTGGTCGTCGGAGCCTAAGAAACTCAGGACCTAACTTTCCGAGGGTAAACGATTTGCCATAGGGAATCAAGAATGTGCCAACTGTGTGTAGATGAAACATTACAATGGAGCAGTGGTGTCATTTGTTTGAACTTGCTAAATTGAAAAACGAGACTAAGTAAGTGACCGAAGAAGTAAATTTTTATTTGGAGGCATTAAAAACACATAAACTGGCCATCTGAGAGCTCATACACCGTATAATTTTTGCTCTGTTATGTCCGCTATTAGACGAAGAATCGACGCCACCAGCAATTTCTAAATTTTCGTAATTGTATAAAAAAGGCAGTTTCTAAAAATTTGTTGGGTTGGCTCGGTGAGGGAACAAACTACAGAATTCCCCCTTGTTTGCTAAGTAGCTACTGTGTATAGATCGTTTTCAGTCTCGTGGTCAGCAGCTTTGCAAATTGCTTGGAATAAAAGAAAGTTTTGAACATGTGAAAAGAGTTCAATTCCCACAGGATTTTTTTTGTACACAAACATGGCCTCCGATTCATTGTTTTGTACACAAATATGGCTGCCGTGACGTCATGTGAAAACGATCTATAGTTAGCACGGTTAGGGAGAAAGGGTGGCGCATTGGTGAGAGCTGGTGAGAGCACTCGCCTCCAACCAATGTGGCCTGGGTTCTAATAATGGCGTCGACGACACATGTTTTCCATATGTGGGTTGAGTTTGTTGTTGGTTCTCTCCTTTGCTCCGAGAGGCTTTTCTCCGGGTACTCCGATTTTCCCCCCTCCTTAAACCAACACTTCCAAATTCCTAATCGATCAGGAACGCACGGACACGTTTCAACGAGTTCTTACAAATATCTAAGTGCTCCGTGGTTAAACAAATTACAATTTTTAATTTTTACAATTACGGTAATGATAAAACATTTTAAGTAATCATGGATGTTTTGAGCTCTTTCGTTAGCGCGAGTTCTGCACGTTTGATAAAATCCAAATGATCGTGTTCATGCAATCATATCTCAAGTCACTACGAGATATCTTCGCATCAGCGCAGAATTCAAGTCTCCTAAATTAACTCCCCTCTTTTCTGCTAACGATGCACTTACCTTAGTGGTAAACTTAGTTCGAATCTCATAGACTTCGTGACAAATATTTAAAAAAACAATTTGTCATCTAGTTGACATAAATTTAGACAATCGAACAAACGGTCAGTAAATAAAGCAAATACGAGACTTAATAAATTGAAGGCAAATTAGAAGCCGCCTTATATTTTTGTGTGAAAGTCAAATAATAGTAAAATTGAAACGTTTGCACTTGTTAAAGAAAAACTATAAACTACGAATAAAGAATTTGAATAAGGATAGTTCCCTCTTTTTGGTTCCATTGCAAAAAAGAAATGTTTAAAACAGATTTTCATCGAGCTCACAATGCTGTTTAACTTTTTCTTTTCTTTTTTTATTACGAAGATCAAAATGAAAAATAGAACATTATTTATATGGTGAATTCACTCAATGAAGAGGTTTGCACGACAAAACTTGAAGCTAATACAGTCTTCGCAATATCGCAGTCGGTTATTTAAAGTATAGAGTTGACCAATTCAAGATTTGTGTAAATGATTTTGTTGGTTGTAAACCAGAGACGTTTGGAAAATATGTATATTTTATGCAAACTATAGTCTTGTACACAAGCTTAAACACTGTTGATCGAAATCTGCGAAGAAACGGTTCTTTGCAAATACTTATATACGGTACACATTATCTATCGTTATCCGTACAAAAGATAAGTATCTTTTTTGGATATTTTATGTAGCGATGTACACTAAGAAAAACTCACCGTGTAATAACTTGTGATATTAACCGTGTAAATAGAAGAGACGATGTATCACTAGTCCTAAATGTTGGAAAATTTGTTCAAATGCTTCGTTTGGCCTTGTTCCCCTAGTAAAACAAAATTAAATGTAAAAAATCCTTTTTTGCGAAGTTGAAAGCCTGGTTAAGTCGTGGAGGAGGAGAATTTAACTTTTGAAATTGAGAACCACAAACATAGATAATTTTGGCAGCAGTAAAAATATACCCGCACTTTGTTGCTAATAACCGCTTCCATGGCAACAAATGGCAGTCGTTAGCAGGTGCTTTGAACAAATCTAACCGTAAAATAATACTTCAGAATTTGAAGCGTGTAATATTTAACAGCTGCTTTCCGTTATAACAGCTCATCCGTGTTAATTGAACGTAACGGTGGTTTTGTGCAGGATCACGTTTATTACGGTTAGGCCGGTATTTTTTAAAATAATACTCCAGCCGTAAGCGAGTTATTTTTTCTCAAATGTTATATCGTCAGATTCAAGCTATCTTGTCATAATGTAAGTCACCCGGGCTAACCTTAGTCGACTGGAAAAAAATTGTTCGTCAAACCGGATGAAAATACCTTCAAAGCGAAAGCCTAGAAGCGTACTGATTGCAGGCAAACAGGTTGGTAAACGACGAAGACGTCTGTGAGCCATAAATTGAATGTAAGAAGTTGCGGCAAGAAAAGCGCTAGCAAACGACCATCGTGCTGCCTCGAAAGAAAGTTGGAATGAACCAAAATGTTAGGTTAACCCCGGGCAAGAGACTAAATAAATGCAATTGGATAAATGCAATTTTTTCGACTATGTACAAAAGACATTTTTATAGTCTAAAAAGCCTTCTTTTTTATAAACAACATCATAAAAATACATATCTAGGCCCTTTTCAAAGAAAAGCCGACTCGAAAGAAATTTTCAAATTTTGACGAAAATCATGGGTTAACCTCTTTGGAAAAATGCCAATTTTTTCGACTATGTCGAAATGACATTTTTATAGTCTAAAAAGCCTACTTTTTTAGAAACAACATCATAAAAATACGTACCTAGGCCTTTTTCAAAGAAAAGCAGACTTGAGAGAAATTTTTAATTTTTGACCAAAATCATGGGCTAACCCCTTTTGAAAAATATTTCGACTGGGCCAAAATGCCTTTTTTATATTGGCCGACTGTCGGTCGAGAGTCAGTCATGTAGAGCGCAGTGTTCGGATGGTGGGGAGCGAGTTGAATCTTATGCACAGGAAATAAAGAGAAAAAAGCGAGCCGGGAATTGGGCTAGAGGGAGGGAACGCCTGTAAACGTTCTCAAAAGGTCGATCGTTCCAGTATACTGGATTCAAGTGTGCCCTCTTACTGGTCGATTATGACACGGCTTCTGTTAACACTCACGCAAGTGCCTGTGATGTTGATGAGAAATGCGATAGGCATCATCTGTCATCGAATCACTTAGACATCGAAGCTATTATAAACAAAGCATTCGACATTTTCTACGCGATGAGCCGAAATTTGCTAGAAGAATCTCGATTAAAGCAAGGACGTTTTTGCGATTCTTCCAAGGGGCATTGGGAAGAGGGTGATTTTCAACACTTCCCACAATAAATAATGAATGTAATCAAAGGAAAAGTTGGCTTGTCAATTTTATAGATCATCATCGTTTCGCTTCTCGCAGCCATGATGACACCAAGTTGAGCAGCTCAAGCGATTCGGAATAGGAGCAACCGCCATATTTTGGGGGCAGTAAAAATCGTGAGATGGATGGATGGTTAGACATTGGTGTAGAGGCTTAAGAGAAGTCGGCTGCAGGGAGTTTCATTTCTACCCAGCATTCTGGAGTTATTAAATGGAGTCGTAACGGGACATCAGATGGTGGAGGTAGTTACCTCAGGTAGCTGCAGAACAATAAATAAAGTAGTTGTTAACACAAGAGATACGTGTATGCAAGTCCTGTAGAATTGTAAAGCAGAATCAAAGATAAGATTTCAGGGGCACCCAACGAGAATATAGTTCAAAACCACTTAAACATAGCATTGTTGAACGTATTTTAGTATTTAAACGGTAGATATAGGCATATTTTTATCCCCTAAAAATTTTTCATCTGTTCAGATTTCAGTAGCTGAAAGTCTAGTGATCCGAAAATTATAGGATCAAAACTTACCTTTTCGAAGATTTCAGCCAGAAAAAAGGCTCCCGAAAATTCTATGTGACCTTTCTAGGGTAAAAATCTGTTGAAAATGGGCAATTATATCATTTTTGGGGGGTTCGAAAATCCCAGGAGAGGCGGGCAAGCAAGAAATTTGACAACAAATGCTCCGAAAGTTCTATATCTCAAATCGTCTTCCGAACAGATATTTTCCAAAAATTGTCGTTGGGTGCCCCTGAGATTTATAAAGGCTAGGGGGAACGAAAGGCTAATAATGCGAATAATGGAGCAGATCATATCAACTTTTTGCTCCTGGGACATCTCACTGTCTATCATGACATTAAGAATTTTGGCTAGTGCACACACCAATGATGTCTTTCGTAAGAAATTGATCAAGAAGAGCTAAATACTTAGTAACATCCATCT